AGAGAGAGAGAGAGAGAGAGAGAGAGAGAGAGAGAGAGAGAGAGAGAGGAATTCTGAGAGATGAGTGAGGCCTGAAAGAGTGAGAGCAGTGAGGAGGGAAAGGAAGAAGAGAGACACGTACCTGCATGCTGACTCGAACGGCTATAGCGGCTGGTGACAGAGAAGACAACCAAGTTTGTGCTGACTATTGAGGCTGTCTTTGACTTTGTGTGCCTGGCGTGAGTGTGGCATGCTGCAGGATTGGTGTCCGAGTGTTGCAAAGAAAAGAGAAAAAAGTGAGCTTGCTGCTCGTTTTCATTGGGCTGCCAAAAAAAAAAGAATCAAAAGAGTTGATCTTCTGCCTCTTACTTCAGCTAGGTAGTGTGCTTCCTTCCAGCAGGCACTGCCAGGCTGGATGGAGGGGATCTCCAGTATTTGTGTGGCCAAGATTTGATGTTGACATGTTGTAGGTGTCTGGGCCTTGTGGAGGTGGCTTTCCGTTGATCTGGGGCAGGATCAGAAGCTGCAAAGTGGTCTATTCACGTTCCCGCCCCATGCAGAGGCTGGCGGCGCATGACTGTCTATGGCCCCCGGGACCTCTGGGCCAACAGTTGTCATGGCCTGGAAACTGAAAATCTCCCCCTGCATTGGACGATCGCTGGGGTCTATAGTCTTGTGTCCCTAGTCCCAAAGCTCAGAGCGCAGTTCAATTCACCGAACTTGGCTGGGATCAACTCAGTTGGACTCGGCATAGTTGCATGCAGACGGTTGGGCTGAACTTTGTGGGATTAAAGTTAATTAAACTCAGTTGGACTTTACGAAGTTCAGTTCACTGAGCGCAGTTGAACTTAACTCGGTTGATCGCAAGTGGAGTAGGACTTGATGAACGCGCGGATGAACTCAACTCAGTTTGACTAAATTCAGTTGGACAAAGCTTCATTACATTCCATGAACTCGGTCTGGTTCAAGTCAGCTGGACTCAATGACTGCAGTTGAGGTCACCTCACCTCATTTGGACTCAAATCCTTTAGGCTTAACCCCTTGGCCCAACTAAGTTGTACTCACTGAACGCATTTGAACTCAACTCAGTTAGACTTAACTCAGTTAGGTAACTTAGGTGTACCTGATGTAGACTCGAACCTCATGTCGACTCGAACCTCATGTAGACTCAAGGAACTCTGCTGGAATGACTTCCAGGGGTTTGTTTCACAGCTGCATTGTGCATTGTTTGCGGTTGGACTCTGGAGTTTTTGTGAAGTCAAAGCTGACGGCGACTTGCAACATTGGGGAAAAAAAGGGCATAGGCATATGCAGTGAATGGTGTGTTTTGAAACTTGCGGGATGGGGGCGTGTTTCGGTGGGGAACGCACTGAACAATTGTGCAAGATAAGACTCATAAGAGCCTACGTTAACGTGGAAGTTCACGGAAACTGCTTCAGCATTGCAGAAGGACAATTTGGAAATTTGCACAGCACAGGGAGGTGTTTGCCCAGTTTTTGCTTACTGCAGTGTGCAGATCGGACTTGATTTGACTGAGCTGGCTTCGACAGCGAAAGAAAAGAGCATGGCAATTTCTAGACTGTCAGTGTACTCGAATGCGGGAGGGGTGAATCTGCGAAGGGCCTACTAAGGGGGTTAAAGGGGGTATTACATTTCTGTACAGTAATGAATAGTTGTAAAATTATATGAATCATGATGTTATACCAAGTATACTTGCTATAGTACTAATGATGTTATGCATGTCATGTTCAGCTGTTTCCCTAACTCTTGAAGGTCGACTTGGGGGCTGCAACTTGTTGATGACTGTTCCTGCATGCAGAGGGGTGCAGAAGCGAGTCCAAAGAATCGCTACATTTGGCAGGCGTGGGGATTGTTTGAGGCGCGGCAGAAGAACAGAGCGAAGGCCCGTGAGCTGCTTGAGACGGGCGCTCGACTTAATCGGAACGACCATATCTTACTTCAGGTCTTAAATCAAACGCAAAGCACACCCAAAAGAAGACCATATCTTACTTCAGGTCTTAAGTCAAACACAAAGCACAGCCAAAAGAAGGACTTGATTGGAAGGAAACGGTTCGGTTAATAGTACTTCTTACCTGCCTGGTGGCTGAATGTTTCATTTGTGAATTTTGTGTGCATACGGTTGTGATACCGCCGAGATGAAGAGTCAAAACCCTGCTGGAATTCCGACTGAATACGCTGTGTGCTGTGTGCGGTGTGGTGTGCTGTGCTGTATGGTGCACCAACAGGTGAATAAGCAGTGCATCAGTGCAAAAAAAAAAGAAGAAAAAAAGAAAAAAAAAGAAAGTAAATTAAATTTAATTAAATATAAAATTATAAAATTAAAAATTGACAAAATGTCGTTGGAAATTGAAATGAAAGAAGATCGAATGATTGATTTCCAATTTTTTGTAATGCATTTTTCAGCAAATGAGATCTTGCCATCTTAGGGTATTGTCCAGGACAAAAGTTGCTTGAGACTTGATGTAATTTTAATATTTTTATAGTAAATTTAGTAATTTACACAGTACATATAGTTTTCTGAAAAAGTCTTTGCTTTTTTCTTTTTGGATTTTCAGGTGCTCGCACGTCATCTGTGGCACACCAGTGTGGTGCGCACTGTGTGCCTCACGTGCACTTTTTGCGTTCATCTGGTGGATGGTGGCGACTCTGTCATACGCCAGCCAATCCCTGTTGGACTTTGCTGTGATCTTCCATAGCTCGTCAGGGTTCTGTTGGATCTGAGTCTTGGTCTTGTCTCCATTTGCACCGATCTTTTTTCTGCTTCTTTTAGGTCTTTGGTGAAGGCCCAGTTTGCTCTTGCCTAGTGCTCTGTTGCTTCTCTAAATCCGATCGTTCAGTGGAGGACATCGACTTGTTCCTTGTCTGAACATACTACCGTCTTCACCCGAATACAATGTACGGTCATTATAGCTGTATTTGGGGCAGCTTTAAGTCTAGGTACATAAATAATGACCATACGTTGTTTTTGTGTGAAGACGGTAGGCATTGTTCTGAAATATTTGGGTGATAGTCCTTTTCTTTTATGTGTAGCCATTGGCTTACCGGTGTGGCAGTGTAGGTGATCTTCCATTGTAGGTTCTTGATGCTAATAAATTAATAATAGGTCGTATGAATCTGTATTTGCTCCATGGTATCTTGGTGCGGACGGTCTTCAGCACGATCGTTTTTTTTTTTTTTTTTTAGGTATTGCCATCAGGGTTACATACCTGCCGACTGCCGACCCCGACCGCCAACCGTATTGCAGCCGACCAGTCAAAAAACAACCATCCACTGATTTTTTTTTCAAATCTGAGTTGGGGGCTGTACTGCGCTTGCTGAGTACAGCTCAAATCCGCTGAGAAACTTTTGGGGATGCGGGGAGGGATGGGTGGGGTTATAGGGGGAGTATAGGGGGTATAGGGGTGGTATAGGGGGTA